ACAAAACTTGATGGATTCATGATCGGGTGGCTTGCTGGTCACCAAATCCAAGGCGTAGCCCGCGGAGCAAAGGAGGACCACGAGGTGGAGACTGCCATTAATCATGCGAAAATAGTTGGGGCTCACCAAATGCCCCTTCCTCGGCTTTCTGGCGCGTGTCCACGCGTTTAGGAACGCCTGGACAAAAGACTCAGCAGAGTTTGCGTGGAGGGGTCATCCACTATTCATTCACGACAAATAAACAAAGAAAGACTGAAGACAAAAGAAACGCGTATATCAGGGTCAGAGACTGAGCTTCCAATCAGGAAGTCCAGATAAGGGCTTCATTGCCACCGTCCTTGCCTTGGGCAACTGCTCTTCCTGAATGAAGCGCGACACGTTCACGCCGGTCTCCCCCGAGGTGGCGGCATCCAAGGTCACCAGGTCGACACTGAAGCGACTGGTGGCGAAGGTCTTCATGGGCTGCACGACGGGCTCTCCCACCTGCTGGGCGCAGCAGACAGTGGGCGGACGGGACGCGCACCCGATCGAGAGAGGGGGGGTGGCGAATGTGGCCCAAGCACCACCGGCAGGATGCTGCGTAGTGAATCCTTGTTGATCTTGGTCTAAAAAAATCCTCTTCTCCGGAAAGGAGCACTAATCACCACCTGTATCATTCTGTATCTGCTTCTATCGTACTGGCTCGGGAGTCCTCTCTTGGGCTGTTTCTTCGCGTTTCTCCCGCTTCGTACCTGACTGGTCTCAGTCTTCTGGCTCTTCTCAGTCGCCTCTGACTTCGGCGCTTTGATGCTTTGGGGGACCACGGCAGTGACATTCTTCTCCATGGAATCAGCCCACTGCTGCAGCCCAGGGCTCATCATCTCCTCTCGATTCAGCAACTGACCTCGCACAAAGTTCTGTGGTGCCAGGATCATCAAGGACGGGTGGATCTCTGTTCAGTAGGTCTATGGGGGAAGATTGTCTGGCTGTTCTACCAATACAGAAACAACTCTGAGATGTCCTTTCTCGGTGTGGAGCAACCAGACACAAAAAGCAACCACTGGCCAACCCCAGATGCTCCATGTTCCCTAGCTCCCTGCAGTTGACCATCAAGGACAGTGCCTCGTTGTAAAAAGTGGCCACGACCCGACCACCGAAGGGCTTCCTTTTTTTGCAGAAGTGTTTGATTTGGAAGCGTTCTCCAGACTGTCAGCGTCAGCCCTCACTACCTGCTGGATCATCGATGAAGTCCTTGAGCTGAGCTACTCACCAGCCCATCCAGTGCATCATCGGGCAGCTGCCAAAAGCCATAGGTCTTCGCGCCATCTTGCAGCAAACGCTTCGCTTGCTCAGGCCTCAACCTCCTCCCCAGGTTCCTCTCAGGCCAGGCAACCGCTGAAGGACTCGGTTCACACAGAGATGTGTCACAGAACCCTTCAGATTTCTTGAGAAGACTCGTTGAATTCATGACCCATCGCCCCTTCGTTCGAAGTTCTTCGAAGTAGATGAATTCGCCTCACAGTTCTCCATGATCATCCAATCCTTACCCTTCATTCACCCTTCCCAGCCTCAGTGCGACCTCCCAGCGATCATCACGAAACACCTCTTGCGCTACCTCCTGCAGGGTCTTCTCGTCCAACTCAGCATTCACCATCGGACCATTCGCCGGTGGCGGCGCCGGCATGGGAGGAAACGAAGCGAGGCCGATGGAGTTTGGGGATGATGGTGGATGACTTGGTCAACTGTGAGCCGTGGTCGGCGGGGAAGCAAGCCGCAAAGAGCGTTGCAGAGAAACCCGTTTCCACGCCCAAAAAAGAGGTCTATGGACCAATCAGCACTTTGGGTTTTTCAGATCAGGTAAGTCACTTCTTCTTCCAGCCCACAGCCCGATTGCCAAGAGCGTGTCGGAGCACTTGCCATGCTTGGAGAATCGGATCGAACGCGCGTTCCGATCCATGCAACTGGGTCCTAACTAGCAGTGCCGGTTCGGACGAAAAACTCGTCGACAGATGCGAAAAGCAAAAAAGAACACGGAACAGCGGAACACCCTCAAGACATCATCTTTCCGGGTCCATCTTGAAACCTGCCTGTAATGATATGTGCACGAACTTGTGCATGAGCTGCTGGCTCTTTTTTCCACTGGTTCTGTGGTCGTTCCGCGAAAAAAAAAAAAAAAAAAAAACACCTCTCGGCACCTCCCGTTCCGCATGTTCCGTGTTCGGCGGCGCGCCGTGGTCTCGTAGTGCGGCGCGGAGGCCAGGCAAATCACGTCCTCCACCTCGAGGCCAGGACACGGCCAATGTGGCGCGGCCGGGAGGGCTTGGGGGGATTCTGGACAGCTGATCAGTCCCTGCAAGGGGCAGTCCTAGGCTGGGTTCTTTTTTGCCGCCTGAAGCATCCGGAGCATGGGTGTCCTGTCTGGAGATCCTGCTTCAGAGTGTTTTTCTAGCGTAGTCATAGTCCAGCCAGGACTCCGGATGGTCCTGGTAGTCTCTAGTTGCAAACCAAAGGATCAAGAGAAGAGTGGAAAGTCCCACGAACAGCCTAACAAGTCCCAGATAACTTCCCATGGCTGAGCACACAACAAAGGTACACAAAGCAAAATCCAGTCACAAGAGTCACAACTCAGATCCTTCTCGGTCTTTGTGCCTCCAACTGCCTCCAGTCTTTGTCGAGTTCCTTGGATCAAGTTCCTTTGAGTTCCTAACTCCATCACCCTTGCCACGCTTCCCGCGCGCGCGCGCCCACCGGAGTGGCAACGGGTCAGCCAAGCCGCCTGCTCTTGGGTCATGCTCTCCCACTTCTTGGCCACTTCCCCCAGGGCCCGTCGGAAGGTTTGGAAGTCGATCTTCCGAGCTCCCCTGCCGGCAGAACTCCGTCGATTCGAGTCTCAAAGGTGGCAAAACTGCTGCAGGTCACCTTTCTGATTACAAATCAACCCATCAACAAGCCGATGAACCAAAGGCAATGTCACCGGACACACCTAATGCCTATGCGAACCAAAAATCACCACCTTCCACAAAGGTTAAGCCATCCCCACCAATGAGCAGTATCGCAAATACACCGAACGCTTCACCCCCGGGCGCAAGGCACACACCGTCGTTCGCATCGCGGTCTCTTCGAAGCGTGCAAACGGGGACGTCGTGGCGGCCTTCCCTTGACGCGGGCGAAGATCAAATCCGCGTCCACCGTGGTGAAGTCCTCGTCCAGGAGCATCGCATCCTCCAACCGGTCGAGCACGCGCCGACGGACGCCGGGTCCAGGTCTGGACGTGGTGAGTCCGGTGAAACCGGTGGATCCCGGAGGTGACGTCCAAGGCGGATGGTTGATTGATTCTTCAATGCAAGTCTGCAAGTCCTGGACGCCTAGATCTGTAGATCTGTAAGTAAGATATGAAACGGCGAACTGGAGAGGCTTTTCCTCCAGCTGACACTCACCAGAGCTGGCTTCCTGGCGGACCTTCGAAAGGCTGCCAAGGCACAGAAAGGCTTTTTCTGCGTCAGACAGGAAGGTAGGAGAGAAGACCCTGGTGAACGATGATCCGACAGTAGGTTAGTCCTTCAGAAAATCTTCCGTGGCCTTGTTCGTCGTTCGTGCACGATTGAAACGGAAAATGTTATGCATCTATTCTGCATGCCTTACTCTACCTGGACCATCTGTTCTGGGTCTGCCGTTCTCGATCCCGGGTCGTGGAGGGTAGTCCAGCCACACCCAGGACACCCCGCGTTGTGGTCCTTCATTTTGGTCCCGCAAGCTGTTTGTGTCCTTGTTTTGTGTCATGTCAGAACACCTAATCTGGTTTGAATCTCCCCAACATTCCAAACAGAAGATATTTGGTCAAGCCCCGGGAACGTCACGCACCCGGAAGGTCCATTTTCGCCCATTTTACTCAGCTGAAGCATTCAAAGGGGAGGCTCCTTGAGGCATTTCACCCAAGTGCGGCCGTCCATCTCCTGCTGTTGCCCTGGCAGGGAAGTGGTGCTAAGACTGAATGCTTCAGAAGTGTTTACCACAGAATGTGGTTAGTGTATCTATAGTAACATCCAGTATAAGTCATTCCTTTTTGTATCTTCTTGTATAGCAGCGAGAAGCAGGGTTCACAGGAAAAAAAATCCTCTTGGGATCCCTAGCAGTTGAGGATCCTCCAGAGAAGTTCATTGAATCGATCAAATGCACCGGCCACTTGCATGGTTTGCGGTGCCCAGCAGGGTGGATACTGGGTGCCGCAGAATAGCCACTCGCTGGGATGGGACCCAAAACCAACCTCCAGCCGCTGCCCCGTCCGACCCGTCGCCCCCTTCTGCGGATTCGTTTGAATTAGGTCCGAGGCAGGCGAAAAGCGCTCAAGCCGCTCAAGCCCAAAGGAATTGCCTTCTGCATTGACCTTTGGGTCGCCCCAGCCCGAGTCGTCCTGGCTGCCCATGTCTTTCCATCACATCCCTACCTGTAAAGGCTTGGAAGGCTTGGATCAACGTCGTCTGCGCCATGGCGCTGAAGGTCCCTTCGTGCCGCTTCGGATCCCTTCGGACGTCGGTGCCGCTTCCCGCTGGTCGCAGGCTCTCCCCCGGCGGTTGAGCTGGCGGCCGGCGATTGGGCGGGGCGCAGTAGCGTGCAGCGGGATAGCGCGTTGGGAGCTCTTTGTGAAGAGGTGAGGCCAAAACCACCTCGGATCCAACCTGAAGCCTGAAGGGATCAGCATTGAAGGACCAAGTTTGTGAAGTCTCAGACACGTATACTCTTGTAAGGCTGGGAGGCATGAAAGAAAACATCCAAAGAAACATGCATCCAACCTTACTGGGTCTATCGGTCTATCGGTGTATCTGCGCTTCACGGCGTGGGGCGCTGTGCGCATGATGACCTCAACTTCGAAGGGTTCAGTCGAACTTGGGTATGTCAATCCTCCTTAATGAACCAGAACATTGCATTTTGTACCGTGGTCAATCCAGTAGCTTACTTCTTCAGGAAACCTCACACCGCCCACCAACAGCAACCAACAGCAACCAACAGCAAGCGCAGGGCTCCCGTAGCCGCGGCCCAGCAAAGCCAAGCGCGAGTGCAGCAAGAGGGCCAGAAAGACCAGGACGGCGACCTGTCTCGGTGGGCGACCTGTTTCGGTGCCAAGTGCAGCAAGCCCGCCAGGGACTGAGAAAGGACATCCTTGCAAGATGCGGACAACCGCAACATGGTGTTCAGGGAGGCCCCCTCTACGGAAGTTCGTGTCCACCTGCCTCCTCTGCAATGGAATCAACGGTGAAGGTGAACACTTGGGTCTTGTACCTGAAAACATGGGACACGCGCGCAGGACAACGAGCATGTCTTGACATGTCTTGACTAGACACTTGGGCAGGGGGGGCTCACACAGCAAAACATGACAGTGTTTGGACTTTGGATGCCTTTGAAGACCTATCTGCCAGTGTGCTCTTGTTTGCTGAGTCAACCTGGCCTGCCAAATCCTTTCTGAATCGGACGTCTTTGTAGAATCCACTGCAGACATGACTTGCAAAGGTGTCCGCCTATTTATTTGGGCATTGGGCACCCAGAAAAAAAGACTTCAAAGCATGCCCAGCCAGAGGGTTCATCTGCAAGGGCCCGGTACATTGGCTGGATCAGTCCAAGTGGATTTATCGAACATCTATAGAACCTACTTACTGGGAAGGCTACATGAAATCAATAACCTGCCGCTTGCTTAGTGATTCTGCCAGCCCGGGGGCACCACAAAAGGATCGCAAGAATGAGGATGTAGAAATTGACGTACCTCGTCAACACATGTCCAGCCATGGAATGTCCAAGATCAGCTCGCCACTTTTTGCAGCAAGGGCAGTATCAATCCCACGTCGTGGTACCATGTCGCCGCTGATGAAGGTCGACCCACGATCTCCATGGCGAGGCCCGACCAATGGGACATGCGGGGGACCGTTCATCTGAGATCTGGTGATCTCATGACTACAAAGTTGGGCCCTATCCAGGATGCGACATGTTCGTAGGGGCACCCCCTGCCCATGGTTTCTTCCCTGCAGCCGTTGTTGGTCAGCCGGAACGGAACTCTGACCGCGCAGCGAGTCTCCGCACGACCGGTCGACCAGAAACCCGTTGAAACAAACCGAAAAAAGAAAGTGAAGAGGAAAAGAACGTGCTGCAACCACCATGATCAGTTCTGGACTTACATAGATAAACCCTTCCCACAAATGTCCCTTCTTCATTATCAACCATCACTAACTTCAGCCACCCCCAAGCCAAAACCCACCATCCCGTCTTGCGCCAGAGCACCAGCGCAAGAGTGGCAGTGCCAGTTTCACCAGTTTCCCAAACCTCTGCTTCAGCAGAGGACAGAGAAATCACATCCAGCGGATTCGGAACTTCCAACATCCGAAGAAGCACATGTCCGCCGCACGTCCAGCGGAACTTCACCGAGGAACGTCACGGCTTTTTGCCAGAAGCATGCCCAATCCTTTCCTCTATGGTGGTGTGTGTGTGTGTGTGCGTGTCAAGAATCAGCCATCCATATACAAACAGAGTCCAATTCTTCTGTGTGAAGAACTGTGGTGTACTTTCCAGTTCTTCTGTGTTCATTTGGGTCCAAATCACATGTCAAAGCCTTCCAGGATGGAAAGCATTCGGTCACCAATCTCGGCCAAGCGGCCGTTCCATGGCTTCGCCACGGAAAACAAGGCGGCCACGGAAATCGCGTTTGGGTAGGTATTTGTTTTTCAGAAATACCACACCATGATGATCAACGACATATGCTCCAGAGCTGTTCGAAGAACAAAACACATTCTTTGTTGTCTCTGCAATCAAAACAAATCCCAAAGATTGATTCCCTGATGATCGGCCAAAGATGTTACTTCTTGATCTCCAAGCCATACGGAGCGCCAGAAAATGGTTTCGTACAGAGTTTGGGAGCCACCTCAACCGCGCGCATGGTCGGACCCGGATTCAACGGCCGTCGGTTCGTAGCAGGTCAAGCCAGTGTCCGTTTTCTTTGCCGATCCAAAGAGTGAGAGACTCATGAAGCAATTTGCTTCAATCATGTGACTCGCGACTAAGGTTTGTGGCCCTGGCGACCAGATTGCCCGGCCCTCCCCAAAATGTTAAAATTGAAGCTCAAGACACTCGATGACGGGTTGAACCTCCACTACACACCAACTATTTATGCGTCTCCCTTGCCCGCTGCAAACGAATTTATCTAGGAATTGAGGTGGGGGGCTACTGAGAGAAATTACCTAAAAGGTTGAAAAATCAGGGCATAGTGGGCACGGTCTGGCCACAGGCCCAGTATCTGAGGGATTGGATGAGCACTTGATGCTCATAGATCAGGCCAGTGCGGCTGAGGAAAACATGCCAAGGCCAACCCATGTGGCGATGGCTGTAAAGCGCAAAGCCAAAAGTCTGCTGCCCATTTGGAAAGTCCTATATAAATGGAAGGAATCCACATATGAGACCCTGCTTCAGCCAAAGGTTGAACTTTCTCCGTTCTTGCTGCCTCTGTTTGTTCCACATTTGCCCGGTCTCAGATTCACCAACAACTGTTGGCAATCTGTTGGCAGCACATTGACCACTGTCCAGACTCAAAACTTGAGACGCTCAGCTAGGTCATGCCCTCAGTGGCACCTGAAAAGAAAATAAGGGGAAATACAATGAAATACACACCAATGCAGGTGTAGTTCCTTTTGCCTTTGGGCCCTGATACCAAACATCCACAAAGCGCTCATCGTCCGAAGCTTGAAGCTACATGTTCTTCCCAGCTCCGTCCAAAGATTTCCCCATATCCCCAAGCTGAAGTGTCCTGGGGCCATCCACCATCCCCACAGGTCATGAGTTTCTTCCCATCCACCCGAAGATCCAGTCCACTCTTTCGAATCTCCAAGATGTGAAGGTCCGCTTCAGATTCAACGTGGCCGAATGGCGGCGTTCTTTTTTGTACCGGGAAACACGTACCGGGAAAGCACCTGAACAGCCTTCTTTGTGTCATCATCGGTGTCTCTGATCATCTTTTATCGAAATTACTTGAGCATCCTATCTATTCTTGTGCTAGAAAAAAGATGAACCTATGCGCCCTTTGGCAGTCTGGTGCTGGCATCAGGAATCTAGTCAGGGCTAGTACTTTTCTGCCACGAATTGGACATGTTGTCCCTGAGTCATGACCGTCTTCAAAACGCACGATGGCTCAGGATTCAGCGCCGAAGCGGCACTCAGGTGTCTTTATGCAAGGCATTCTTAAACAGAAAGAAATACCAAGACAAACGGATAGTGCTTGAAGATACTTGCAGAATTCCCAAAGGCGCACCAGCTAAAAACAACTACCAAGTAGTACGATTCTTTCGGCTACCTCGCAGCTTACGACACCGGGAAGAAGATGGAGAAATGATCGGTCTCGTTCATGACCGCCGATCGGCCCCGTCTGCTCATGCCCCGCCGAACCAGACCTTGAACCTGGCGGTGGGGCTTTAGGAGACGAGACGAGACCGGCATCCGAAACTGTATCACCAGGTCCGTGGCGGAGTCGAAGTCCGTATCACGTCGTAGAATTCGAATGGAAGGTCTAGTTCTTTCTCACATCGGAAAACACACTAAATCATACATAATCATATAAGGTACCGTACCTGGCTGAAGGAGTCTTTCCTAATTCTATGCGGATGGTGTGATCCCTCGGGGCTTTTCACCGCGGACGCATCACTCCGTCGCTCAGGGCAGTGGCATGTTTCATCGAAGAGGTCAGTGGCCTGTGTGAGGTCCAAGGCGAAAACCTGTCTATGATTATACAGGCCGCCTAGGTGCACATGACACAGGTACCTGCTATGATCTATGAAGTACCTGTCGCTTTCTTTCCCTAGTTGATTGGCCTGGAACTCGGTGCCCTTGGAAAATGTGATTTCCTGAATTTCGAGGTACTCACTCAAGTGAACCAACGTAGTCAAAATGAGGACACCACCAACCCTAAGCTCCCTAAGAGCCCTCCGTCTGCCGCTCCCCTTGGCCCTTCACAGCGCCGCGGCACCGGTCGGTGAGGAAGATGGTGCTGGCAATGGGTGCGGCCACCGCGACCCAGTTCTTGCCAATGCCACGCAGCAGCCACATAGGTCCCGACTGACCACGGGAAAGGTGGGAGAACCGGAGAACCCTTCAGAGAACGAGAAATAGGAACATACTCCCACATCGAAAATTGCTACGATTCTAGTCACCAGTCATGGTTGCGGCATTCGACCCAGAGCCACGATATGAGATGACATGATGATGCTTCCTCTAACAGGCAGCATGAAGATTTCAATGAAAGTGTCAGGCAACTATGAACACCTCGAGAAATCTGAATTTGAGTGGATTCTTCCAGTGAACTTCTAAAACGTAAAGTTGCCGCCGGCGGCGAGGTTGCCGTCCTCTTTGCTCATTCGCATCATGCAAGCAACCATGCCCTCCTCAGTCTTGAACATCTCCTCAGTGTGGCAAAGGGGGGGTCACACCATGTCACACCATTCATCAGCTGCATCATTGTCATCAAACGTGCACAGAATGGACACCGTTTCTCAGCCACTTGGATCCCAAAGGAGGACGTCTGATCACTTCATCCGAACAGCTACAGCCGTCCCCCTTGGTTGTTCATAGGCGGGTCGGTTTTTCGCTTTAGAAACCTTTTGTGTTTATAAAATGTGACGGATAGGTGTTTTGGTTTACAAAATGAAAAGCCAACTAGTTTATAACATGACCAGCATAGGTCATGATAGGTTAAGATAGAAATCTACATCCAGAAGAGACAATTTATATCTATTAATGAAATGAGAATTGCGAATCGGCCTCGCCAAGTGAATTCTTATAAAATGAGATTTGTGGGTTCACCTGCCATCTATTCCTGTTATTCACTCTCCAAGTTACTGAAGTTTATTAAATGACCTGTGTAAATCGATACTCCAGATCTTAGGTAGTTATCCAAAATACTTGCCAAAATACAGGCCCTTGTGTCTATAAAATATCCCTTGGAATTTGCATTTTACATGAGAAAAGGATCGTCATTTCATGAGGCTTCATTCATGGGGTATGCAATGGGTATGACAGGTATGATGTCCTCATCATGAGGTCTCTCAAAGTATGACCTCTTCTCCAAACTACCTCCGGTCAGCTACAACTCCCGCGGCTTTTCTCTTCAATCACCCAGTCAGACCAGTCCCGGTCCCTGGTGTCCACTGGTGTCACTGTATTTCCACCCTCCGGCACCGAGAGTCGTTGCGCACCACATCCAAGGGGTTGGTCAGCACCGCACCGGCCACGCCTCACGATGGCCCCGAAGGGGTTGGTCGTCGCTTGGAGCGCGGAGCGCGGTCCGGTCCGCTCCACAAGAAGGATGTGCAAGGTGTTTCTGGGTAATCTTGAGGATAGTGTCACAAACAAACAAACAAACAACCAACCGACCGACCGACCAACCAAGCAAGCAAGCAAGCAAGCACGCTTACTTCTTAGAATTCAACCAAGGCATCTGCACCTGCCTCCCCTTACTTCGAGTCCTCCGTGCCCGGCCTGCAGTGACCGAAATCTTGGCGGACTTCAGGAGAACTGCCTGGCGGGACGTCCGCGCTTCACGTCCGTCTGCCGCCAAACGTTTCAAAACTCCCAAAAAGCACCCTGTTCTCATTGTCTATCCCTGTTTTGGCAGTTGGCAGGAGAAGAGACCGAAAAGTGTATGCATCCTCGAAACACCTGGACCGGCGACCCTGGCGACCGATGGAACTCTGGCGACCCAAACATCTAGGGGCTCCTGGCATCGCTACGAACGGAGCGTTCGGACGCTACTAGTAACAAGGTTACCTGGTCGCCCAAAAAAATGCCAGTACACCCGGTGCGTTCTGCCGCAGGTCGGAAGACTCTGGACAACTCGGGAAGACTCCGGCTGATGTACTCTTCGTCGTCGCCTGCTTGTCCTTGGGGTCCACGGGAGCCAACCAGAGGCCCATGTAGTCCTTGATCAGCACGGCCTGGAAGGCGACGAGGTTCGGCGCGACGGTTCGGCTGACGAAATGAAGTCCTGAAGTCCTGAGAACGGGAGGTTCTGAACCCTGGAAAGAACATGGCTCTACAGAACTCCTGTGTTCACTTCAAATGAAAGTAAACCCTGCTTGGAGACGCAAGTCTGCTTGGAGAACCCAAGATGTGCAATGTGGCGTACGCAAGACATGACGCAAGACATGACCCTTCCCCAGGCAGCAAAATGGGCCAGGGCTTGGAAATGCTTCAAACATTCAAATGCTTTGAGTTTACCATGTAGTACCTGCCACTCCACCATTCATACAGTTGGACTTGGATCACCACATACCCCACACCCTGCGCCACCGTCATGTACTTTGGCGCGGTCTTCAAGATGGCAGCATCCAAACCTCGCACGTTGGATCAGCGGCGCGAGCTCGCGTGATGTGGCGAGGGAGATAGGTGGATCATGGCCGAAGAAAACGCACGGCTGGTGTCGACTGTCGGGTACCGACTTCTTGGAAGATGTTCTTACGATGCTATTTTCTTGCGTCACATCCACATTAAGTGCTTGGTGCTGCCAAGAAGCCGGTGAACCAGGAGCCAAAGCCCTTGGTGTGAGCAAGATGCCTGGCAACGCACCATGGCAGAAGGCCTAGGCCTATATAATTCTAGTCTGTCGAGGCTTGTAATCCTGCACTCTCTGAGATGGAGAGAACATCCCAAGATTTCTTTAGCCCAGACCTCTAACCTTCCTTCCAAAAAACGACAAGACGACCCTTTCAGTGGGTCCACCGGTTCGCTTTTGCGCCTCAACATGGTCATGTTGGGGAAGGTGGCCTTGGCCAACTCCTGGCGGACAGGCGGAGCGGCGCAGAGGACAGCGACGGACGCAGTCCAGAGAAATGAGTAGCCGACCAAAGACGACCATGATCAGCCAATTTGGTTTATAAAGTAAATGTATCTATGTAAGCTTCTTGGGAGATCCTCGTCTATCCAAGCTGGATAGAGAGAAACCTGAATAGGATTTGGATAGACCTAAGTGGTTACCAAAGTCAAAATGTGGTCTTCTTTAAGTTCTTCTAGGGTTCTTTTAAGACCTATGGGGCTGGAAAGTAGGTCGCTTAGGCCGTTGAATCATTCATTTCTTCCCACTTGAACCCCCCCCCCGTGCACCCCACCTGTTTCTCGCCCCTTCACACGTTCTACTGGACCAGTTTCGCGCGACTTCGCGACTTCGCAAGCTCTCCATACATCGGTGCCTCGCCGGGCTTCTGCAGCATGATGGAGGAGCGCACGAAGGGTTGGTTCACGGCCTCTCGACGCGACCGGTCCCACCAGGCCCAGTACCCCGTTTTTGGCTCTTTGGAGTTTTCTGAAGTGCACATGGGTATCTGGATGAGCAACCCTTTAAGAGTGCTGGGTGAAATTCGTGATGGCCCTGGAGTAAGCCAAGGAGCTGCGAGCGTGAGCATATGCCTCTATCAGACTCTATCATACTAGGAACATGTCCAAGTCATTCCAGGCAATCTTTTCACAACAGTGACCTACCAGACTTGCATTTCAGATTTTGGGGTGACACAGAGCGGTGAAAATATCCTTCTCTTGGAACATTTTGGAACTGCAGCACCTGTCATCACCTGTCTTTCACCTTCAGCCCTCAGGGAAGAGCTGCACTATCTGAATCCATCGGAGTGTGTGCTGTCCAGTTGGTTCGGTTCGGCGAAGAGGCAAGATTTCAACTCTCAAAAATACCGTCCCACTCATGGCAAAATCAGTTTCAACCTTTCGTGCCGCATTGGAAAATGGGTTCACAGTTTCCAGCAAGATTTGACAGACAAGGACTGAGTGAGACAAACCACTCGCCGAAGCCAAACTGCTGCTTTTCCACCACCGCTTTTCCCGTGTTCATAAATCCCCGAGCATCGACGCTTCATCTGGAGGTCTTTGCAGGATCCATCCATCCCCATGAGTCCAGGCCATCCGAAGCCCCGAAGCTTCGCGGCATCGGGCACCGCCTGTGCGAAGCAGGACACCAAGAGGGACGGCACGGTGGAGGCCAGCGCAGTGGAGTAGCCCTGGGCGGTTGAGGATGTGTTGATTCAGAGGCCGCAGAAGAGGCCAAACAAACCGGGGACCGGTGCATTGAGATTCCAGGCTTTTGCCCAAAGTCTACCCTACAGCATGGAAGATGGAGGAAACGTCAATGTCAAACCAGGTCCATGCGACTTCTTCTTTTAGAATGTTAGGCATTCAAAACTGGGCAGGAGTGGCTTTATCTCCGACCTCTGAACCTCACCTGTGTAGAGTCAGAAAAGGCTTGCATCAAACTGGTCCAAGCACAATTGCTTTGGCTCCAACTGAAAGTTTCTGGCTATCAACTTGGATCTGCTATTGCAACAAACTCCGACAAAGAAAAATCCCAGTGCCAGTGCTAGTGCTGAATTGGAGGTTTGGGTAGAAGAATCGTTTCAGGGCTGGACCATCCTTTTAAGTGGCTCTTGGTTTACATGAACGACAGCTGCACAAGGACAACCTACCAAAAGATACAGGATGACACAAGCACTCACAAGGAATACACTCGCGATGAGTGCACGGGTTTCTGCCTCCTTTCGCATCCATTTGGAGCCTCGACAAGAATTCTGTCGAATGACAGCAGAGCACTGGAATGCAAACAAGAAATTGGAGACAAGTGGTATGTGGTCAGCCTGTGAGCGCGTGAACTTTCACGATTTGGAGAGGGGATCTAACTTTCAATCACCCTTCCCTTTCTCAAGTGAAATGTTCTGAGCTCTATCTGAGAAGTTCTGCAAACAAGAAACTATACATGTAAAGGACACGTCAGCAAGAAAGAAGAAGTGTCCTTTTGCAATTCAAGTCTCATAGTGTGAGACCCCACTTAACGATTTCTTTTCCACCCCTTGTGACCACTCTTAGGACCACCTTGCAGATTCCAAAACAGTTCTTGCCCGGTCCCTGTCCGGCCCAGGACCCACCTGTGTCAGAGCCATAGAAAATGGCCGCACGTGCCCAGGTCATGCCACCTCAAAACCGTTTCGTTTCTGCAACGGGAAGGGCACGGAACAAGAAGTAAACAAGAAGTGGTTTGAGGTGGTGTTCAGGGCGTTCGACGAATAAAGCGACTAACTGCATTGCAAATATGTGACGTATACATACGTATACTTACACGTGAGGCCGCTCAGTCATAGAAGAAGTCTCCATGAATAAACCCTGATAGAAATGGATCTTCTTGGATTGTCTTGAAACATCCAAAATTTGAGAATCAAGACCATTCAGCAAAGGTGTGTTGATGGAAGAAGCAAAAACTATTTGAGAGGGCTGAGAGGGTGAAAGCCGCAGCAATATGTGTGACATTTTGGGGCTGGCGCAGGATTTCCTTCAGAAGAAATCTATATCATAATCTATCAACCATGACGGGGCTGTGATCCCTTCAGCGAGAAAATCTATCTGGCCATGCGGGACACTGTGGCTGCTGTGACTCTCTGGGCACTGTTGATGGTCCCAACACGTTCGCCTTCAAGTTTGATGCCATGTTCTGCTGTCAATCAAGAAAGCACCTGAGGATCCGGGCCGATCACGACCAAAGAGCCTGGCGGTGTTGTGTTGCAGATCGATTACGAGCCACACTGCTAGAGGTTCTCTTGAGGAGATCTGCTTTTATATCCATCATGGCAGCATGGCACCTGCAGCCTAGATTCGGGTGTCGGGTGTCGGGTGTCTCCTGCCTGAGGAAATGCCGGGCAGGCACCAAATCCAGCATGACCCACACACAAGTGACCCTGAGTAACACGAACATAGTCCGAGATATTCAGAGCTTCAGCAAACATTTAGAGCCAATGCGGCACCTCCCTAAGATGCTCACAGAGAAAGTCTGGGTGTGTGAGGATGTTGGATGTGGAGGGTGGTCTTAGCATTGCCCCGAGCCTATAGTCCATGGAAGCATGGATTCTGAAACCAAACCAGTCAGAGCACCCACAATGGAGCCAAAATCCAGCAAAATCACGATATGGGTAGTGGCTCGTAGCTGTCAGGCAACATGGACCGAGGTTTGAGTCTGTGAAAGCTATGTAAAATGCGGAATTAGAACAGCATCACCACTACCACCACTAGCACCTTCCAGGAAACACTGTTCCCCTGTGCTCTGTTTAGCCCCTGATTGAATTATCCGTGTTTCAGTGCCTATGTCTCTTGATGGACATCTCTCAGTGTCACAGTGACGCTCACTTCACCCACATGCCTTTCTGAATCCTTTTTGTTTGACCAATATTGTCTCACTGATATTGGTCTGACTCTTTTCCTTTTGGCAGTTGCATGCATCTTGGCTTAACATCTGTAATTATCGAAAACGTTTCCCGAAACTGAACTAGACTGTACTATGTCTTTGAGCTGGACACCGGCATACACCAGCTGGCACTCCTTTCGCCAGCATATTCAACACATCTTGGTGTTCATGTTGACTTGGAAAATATGCTAGCTCATGTCAAGCAAACATACCTGTTAAATCAAAAAGGTACAACACCGAGTTGCTACTCCCCAACAAAACTGCAACCAATCCATAGGAGACACGCCAGAACGATCCCCAAAAAAGGTGTGGAGGACTCGAGACTCGGTCGCACTCTACGCGGCCGACTCGAGACTCCGTCGCCGTCACCGCAGCTGCCGGCGCCACGCCTCTCCATGGGGGCTTCATGGCCTCAAAGTACTTCTGCCAATATCCGCTTCCTTCCACCTGGTGCCACAGCTTCGACATGTCTAACAACCCGCCTGACCGATCGGAGATCCGGAACGGCCGTTTCAGGTCTGACGCGAGAACGGACGCAACGCGACGTGCTTCGTTTGGGTCTGACGCGCGATGGAAGAAACGCTGGACATCGCTGGACATGGGAAAAGAGAAGCTCTGTCATGAACTACCAAGTGCGTCAGTCTGACAGTGGCGGACTTGGAAGGATCAAGGACTTGGATACCGTGTACGGCGCACGGCCTTGTAGCCAGATTGGCCAATGGCGGCCGCCTGCATGGCGGAACGTTTGGAGGTACTTGGACAGAAACTCTAAACCCCGCGGAGAAAAATGACAGTGCCCCAGGAATTCCAAACGAGTGGGTCTCTAGACCCTTTACGTGAGTGGATGTTCTCAGCATCCCCGACCCGACATGGAACAGCACCCCAACATATCACTTCAACATCATTTCCACAAAATGCCCCTCCCAAGCCCCTGGACAGAGAGCTTGTCCTTCTCTTCGACTGCGCGACACTTCGACACTCCCACCAAAGCCAGCTACATCTCACCAGAAAACAACAACAACAACAACAACAACAACAACAACCACAACCACAACCACAACAACAACAACGAAAACGCGGGGCCCGAGCCTTCCAGAGAGGGAAGAAGGCCAAAGCAGAGACCCCTGAGGCACCGAAGTAGTAGGCGGGGTTCGCTGCAGCTCCAGCCGCCCTCGGCCGAGCCAAGGAAGGTGTCCCACGAAAGAGGTGTGGGCACCTGTTCTGGGGCCTGTTTTCAGGGTTTCCATGGATTATGGAAAAGACTCCTCGAAAGAACCCTGGTGTTGGATTCCAAACAACAATGTATATACAGTAACAAAGCCGTAAAGCCCTCGTTGTATCTCCTTCCTCCCTTCCAGCTGAAGCCCTTTCGAGTCAGTTATCCTAAGAAAAGGTCACAATAAGAAAAAAGGACGTACATGGTTCTTGGTTTGCAGTGTTCTTCTTCCACTCGATTGAACTGAGAGCTTTCCCTATTTACAAACACGCCCAAAATACTTTGCATGGATGTGTAACGTGTATGTTAAAATGAGGAGACCTCCCAGTTCTGGAACATGATAAGCCTGTGTGCCCACTTGTTCGGGGTCTCCAATGTCTTAAATATTGAAAACATCAAAAGAGAAAGATGTGAATTATATAGCCCTTCTGAGTCCTGGGTGCACGGTGCCCACCCAGTGCGGCGACACAGACACGACTGGAGTAAAACTTCCGGATTCTAGGAAGGCCATCGCTTCTAGGTTGGATTCCATCTTTGCGCACACCTGTGCGCTCCTAAGAGTCGCAGTCAAGAACGCTCCACAGTTGCGCCGCCCAGCCAAGGCGGTTTACGGAATTCCTTCAAAATCCGCCTGCAAACACACCATTTGCAGCTCTGGTGCGGCGACATGTTGAAGTTGGACACGAAAAAGAATGTGGAGGAAACTGGTGTGTCCTCTCGAGTCTCATCAACCAATCAAACATCTTATACAAGCAGCCACAAATTCGACCCCCTTTGGCCAAAAATGCCTGATAAATGATCATATGAGATCATAGACATGGAACACCACGTGATCACCTCCAATTTCAATGACTTTCCACGTCTCCTGATCGCACCGGTGTCCGGTGGTCGACGTACGGGAGCCGAGTCACAGCTGCACCAGGAATGACATGCTTGGACCAAAGGCCAAGAAGAAGGGCCCACGATTTGGCCCCAAGCTGCTGATTGAAAGCTGATTGAAGGGCCCCCCACTGGAGACATCTTCGAAGAAAACCCAGAGTCAACTCACTTCACTCACTTCACACAGTGTTTACTTGTAATTCGCCGCATGCGACGGAAGCCAGCTGCGCGGACCTTTTTTCGCTCCGACCGCCAGACTCCCTGTGTCCGCGATCGCCAGTATGCGGCGCCAGGCCGGCACTGGTCGCACTGGCCTTGGCACCAGCTTGAGACTCAACTGCGAAGTTGCTTGAAAACCTCAAAACCAGGTTTTAGGTCCCAAAAAAATCCCGCTGACGCAAGCTAAGCAGGCTTCACCATTTAAGTATCATTAAGGACCTTTTGATTCACAAGCTGTGTGTGTGTGTGTGGGAAGCTTTTCAAGCCTTCCCCTGTTGGCACCGTCGGAAACTCTGGATGGCCCTAACAAAGGAGGCAGCCGGGACCCCGAACCCAACTGCAAAAACAACCACGGACCCCTCCAGACTTCAGACCTTCCCATAGTGGTTATACCGAGGTTGCTCTATGTCACACATTATATTTGTGTGTCAGAACCCAAGACGTCAACTCGAGCAAAGAAAGGCCGCGCCGAAAGAGGACCGACGCTCTTCACAAGAGTCGTGGCAGCGGACGAAAGAGTCTTCACGCACTGAAGAAGTTTGGGCAAACATGCGCTTGGGGGGGTCTGAACTAACCAAAGTGCAGGGAACCAAAGGGAACTATAATGTTGTTCCTGAACCTATCAGTGGGAAGGAAAGGGTGCCAACTCTGAAGCAGCTACGCAAAAGGGAGGCACAATCCAGAAGGACTAGAGCTCCATTTGCGAGGGGTGATAGACTACGGAAGTGCTATCATTGGTTTTGTTCTTTCAGGGTGGAGTGAGATGAACAGGAATATTTAAGACTCTCTTGATGAACTGAAAAGGGGTAAATGTGAGACGCCTCTCATGTTTGCTGATTCTTCCACTCCATTCAACAAAAGGAACCTCCACGCCGACCAAGGAGGGCCCTGCCAGCAGGAAAAAGAGCAGACTTGGCATGGCCTGACTCTAAAGGCGTGATCTGTGATGAGCTCTGATTCGAAATCCCCTCCACCCCAGTTCCGGGGCAGATCTGGGGCAGACTGAGATCGTCACACGGTTTCAGAGACAGGTGACAGGAGGCAAGAAAACACTCCATCTGTGTCCTGAAACCCAGAGGAATGGTGTTCACAAGAAAGCCGCCACCGCCCATGCACGAACGACGCGCGCACCGTTTTCACACATCCAAGGGACCGGGTTCAAGGCTCAAACGTTGCGACAAAAGTCAAATCCACGAAGCGGCCATGCGATCATGAAGACATGTTTTGACACTTCCCCCCTATGGTCTTCCGCTTCGTGGCCTGACGTCGCTCAGCGGCCGATCTTCGAAGATCCATGGCCTCCTGTGTGTCCATCAAGGACCAACGGCCTTCCTTCAAGGCCAGAGCCAATGAACCATTATCATACCATTTCGTGGTGGCATCGGCCAACATGTGACGGCCGGGAACCCACTTCACGAAGCTATTTGAATTCGACTCCGTCAAGGCCTGCTTCAAAACGGCCAAGTCGATCTGTACCTTGCGATCACTCGTCTGAGTGTCGTTGTTGAGAACATCAAATCCGGTCTTGGCATCAATCACCAAGAAATGGGGCCATCGGCTTGCCCAAAGCTTCCAGGTTTTCAACCTGAAATCCCTAAAAATCAACTCACTCAGGGCAGCGCGCACGTAGTCGCCATGCTCGAAGCTGGTGGCGGCCATAGACACCTCAGCACTCATGCTGCATCGAACCACTCTTTGAATCTTGCAGCTGAAGGCTTCCACCACGCACAAACGAGCCTCACCTGTCACGATGTTCTTGTCAGCGATGCTCACCACAACACCGCCTTGGCTGCTGCCCCCAGGTTGCGCTCCGAAAGCGGCATCACTGGCTGAGATCACCACCATGTCGTCCCAGCCACCAGGCAGCTTGACCACCCGCTGAATGAACGACTGCCCCGCTCGAGCAATCAGCTTGTTGAGCCAATCCACAGCGGTGATGTCGTTGCGGCCCGCCAGTTGCTGCACATGAGAAACCCCATAACTGAGATCGTAACGGCCCTGACGAGCCATCCAGTTGAGTTGACCAATGACAGAGGACATACGAAGGCGATCGGAGGGTGTGAGCGTTTCCGTCTGGACGCGTTCCATCTTCTGAAGGTCCTTGGCATAGTTGTCCATGGAGTATTCAAACTCCAGTGTGCTAGGATCTTGACGTTCCCAGCGACCACAGAACTTGACCCACCCATCAGTGGCCTTCCGAAGGCCACCAAAGTTGAGCGCCTCATGGACTTTCTCCCAGATCTCCTTGCTGCTGTCATCACCGCAGTAGCGGGTGTCGTCCACATGAATGCATGCCAAGGCACGGAGCTCCCCATCGGAATGGTACGCAGCGAAGACGCCAGGCAGAAGTTGTAGCTCATGAACTCCGCAGGCCTCCAACGTCTCCTTATAGTTCAGGTACCAAAGACGCGGTGACTCTGGCAAGCCAAAACCACCTTTCACAAGCTTCAGGATGTCCGAGCGCATGCCCTTGCCGAGCTTCTGACCAATGAAGTCCACCACATAGTCAGGGTATCCTCGTGGCATGCGAATGTAGATCTCCCGCTCTGGAGGCAAAGCTTTGCCCTGAAGGAAGGCCGCCGCCACATCTTCATAGTGTACCACCCAGCCACGCTGAACGGCCACAAAATTGATAAGGTTGTGAGCCAGGGTGGATGCCGTAGGAGCGAGAGTCGGGAACTTGCCCACATCAGGGTCCTTGTGACCGCCCAGAATCAGCCGAGCTTTCAACTCGGCCTCGGCAAGCTCGACACCACCCTTGTTGGTCAAAACGAAGCGGGTGGTGAGGATCCTTTTAGGATCTATCCATTTGTCGGAAGGGACACCCGCCAAGGCCTCATGGTCAAAGTACACCCGAACTGCCTTGAGAAGCGGTTCCTTAAAAGCGGCACGCCACTGTTCATCCAGCTTGCTCCAAGAATACTCCAAGCGAGCCTTGCCCGTCACAATCTCTGCCGCAGCACCGGCTTGTTTGTGTTCTTCTTGCTCGCTCACCAACTTCTCCTGGATCTCCTTGAGCGCCTCCGCCTCCACCGTGGGTTGCGTCCAAAAACTTTCTTGGAGCTGATGTTGTGAGCAAGCTTCACGCCAAACCTCCTCAAAGTCGTCGGCCTCCACCTCTAAGACCATGAGTTCTGACCCCCTTCTCTCACTTCGAGGACCCTTCACTCGACGATGTTGTGCAACGCGACTCTTCTGAATGACCTTCCGGATGTCTCGGACCTTGCTGGCGGCCTTCTCCAGTTGGCTCCGAAGTTGAGCTTCGTTCAAGGTGGTTGGTCGCGATCTGCGATTTTGAGCCCAATCATCGAACATTTTCACCTTCTCCTTGACGTTCATCTCGAACGGAGATTGAGAGGCCACTCCTTGAGACTGACCGTCCATGCCCTCGTCAGATTCTAGGTCTTCAGGAACTGGAGCCATCGCGGCGGCCGCCTCAGAAGGTGGTGGAGGCATTGCCGGCGCCACCGCGGAAGAAGGGCCAGTCGAGCCAAGATGCTGTCTGATGCTAATGGGCAGGTCATTGAGCAGCTCCATGCGCCGAATCTTCTGCGCCCGCTGCTCGCCCTCCTCCGGCGGGACCACTTCTTCTGTTGTGTTCCTCTTGGGCTGATCCTCGATCATCATAGGCACCTCCGGAGCTGCCAGTGGAAGGGGCTCCTCTTCCTGAGGAGGAGCCGAAGGTCCCTGTTCACCAGGGCTCATATCCACATTGATCTTGCCCTCCTTGAACTCCATGGCCATTTCGTCCAAGATGTTCACGATGTAGTTGGAGCCAAGCATCTCATCCGGAGTTGCCAATCGGATCCTTTCCAGAGGATAGCTCTTCACCTTGGAACGAAGACGAACCCACACTCGGCCAGGGACGGCTCGATCTTTCTCCACACAAACCACCAAGCCTGGCCCGTCCCACGAACTCCAGTCCTGCATGCGGGCATGCTGACCACGGCGACTGGGAGGAGGCTCATGGACATAGACGGTTGCTCCTTCTTGCAAAAGCTCCAACTTGGGAAGGATCTCATTGCTGTCAATCCAATGAAACGAATCACAGGCAGCTGCCCGGATGCGCTCGCTGCGTCGCAAGGCGTCCTTCAGATCCAAATCGGCATTGATAGTTTGCCGGGTGCAACCCGAAGACAGCTGCTCCAAAATGGAAGATGGGATGGTAGTGTTCCGACCAGTCACGGCCTGCATAGGAGACAAACCAGCCCGATTGCCCATGCGATTCTTAGCACTGAAACATGCGGATGCAGCGAGCTTAACCTCTGTGATCCCCTTGGCATTGGTGCTGTGAATGGTCCGCATCATCATCAGTTTGACTATGCCACCATGCCTCTCCACTTGTCCTTGTCGCCATTTGGCGCCAGGAGGCACGACTTCATGTCGGAAATCCAACAGCCGCGAAATCCGTTGGACCACATCTTCATACTCTTTGCCAGCATCAGTCTGTAGAAGCTCTGGCGGCCCGAAGACCCCACACCAGCGATTCTGGAGAAGTTCAGCCGTCACCTCAGCAGATGGATTTTGGCTGACGATGCCCATGTGGTACTCAGTGAGGCTGTCAAGGATGTGGGTCACATTGTAGCGGACCCCTTCGATGTCCCACACGTAAAAAGAATCCGACAGGATCTTCTCTCCAAACTTCGTGACCCTATTGCCCGAGACCTTGGGTTCCGCCGCTGGTGGTCGAACAGCCTCACATACTTGACAATGAAGGCCTTGAGCCACCTTGACAATGTTCGCGTTGGAGCCACTCACCATGAGCATCCTCATCAACCGCTCTTTGGACGGATGGCCCAGCACCACATGTAGATGACCCAAGGACTGTCGCAGCCGATAGGGAGCCTGTCTCGCCTCACCTTCAAAGTAGA